TAATTAGAGTCAGTGAGCAGAGGAATATCCTACACGAAATAAGAAAACGGAAGGCTAATTGGATTGGTCATGTTTTACGCAGAAACTGCCTTCTAAAAGAAGTTATTGAAGGAAAGATAGAGGGGCGGATAGAAGTGACCAGAAGAAGAGGAAGAAGACGTAAGAAGATGCTGGATGACCTTGGGGACAGAAGAGGATACTGTCATTTGAAGGAGAAAGCTCTAGATTGCATTAAGTGGAGGAATAGTTTTGGAAGAGACTGTGGACCTGTCGTCTGACAGATTACTGATGATTACGAGTTCCATGTATCCCCTACTTCACATTAAGACCAATAGGCGTCTTCTCTGATTATACTGTTACAGGTTGCAACAGACATGCCACAATATGCAAGCTGTAGAACTTCTATTCATGACAGGTTTTGATATGGCAAATATTTAACATAATAGGTGAAACACTGAGTATGCAGTGTGATTAGTTTCAAAGCAAGTTTCTGATGTGATAAATGAAGATCAAGGCCAATGGAATATGCAGAGTCACAAAGAAAGCATTTGGAAAATCTGCACTCTAAATTATGCAGCACTCATTTGATGAATGAAGGCATGTAGTTTTCACAAATCTGAAGGTTTGTTATTGACAGGTTATGTAAGCTTGGTCAGACTACTGAAATTTGCCACCAATGGACACAGACACTAGAGCCCTCAAGGGACAATGCTTTCCATGTTCAGACAGGTACATACAAGGTGGTTCAAATATGACCAGGACTGATTTTTTTTTAAAAACCATTAATTGCCAAACACTTACTTGCACATGTCAGTCTTCAACGTACTCCCCTCCAGAGTCAACATATTTTTTCAAATGTTCTGGAAGCATCCTGATGCCCTTTTCAAAAAACGCTTGTGGTTGGCGGCGTATCCACTCCCGAACAGTGTGGATGATGACGTCATCTTTAAACCACATGCCTTGCAAGACCGATTTGAGCCATTCGAACAGGTAAAAATCACTAGGAGCCAAATCGGGACTGTACGGCGGATGTGTCAGAAGGTTCCATTTCAATTTCCAGAGGGTTTCCATTGTTGTTTTGGCCATATGGGGGCGTGCATTGTCTTGAAGGAAGGTTATCTGCTTTCCACCTGTCTTCCGCTTGGATCAGAACTTTTCCTTCACATCTGTTGCCAGGAGGTCTGAGTAATAAGCTCCATCGACTGTTCTGGCATCTGTTAGAAAGTCGACATGGATAACCCCTGCCAGTCCCAGAAGAACATTGCCATCATTTTCCTGACGAACGGCTCCTCTGCCCTCGCTTGGGTTTGGGAGAACTGGTATGCCGCCACTCGCATGATGACTGCTGGGACTCGGGAATCAAGTAGTGCACCCATGTTTCATCGGTGGTCACTATAGACTTCAAAAATGCATCACCTTTATCTTCAAACTGCTGTAGGAGACAACTGGAAGCTTGCATGCACACCATTTTGTTCACGTCCATCAAAGTGCGTGCTACCCACCGTGCATTCACCTTGTGATAGTGCAGGTGGTATTTCACGATGTCTTCTACACTATCAACACTGATGGACAGCATTGCTCCAAGTTCCTTGATAGTGATGTGCCTATTCTCACAAATAAGCGCATCTGCACGATCAATGTTTGGCTCGGTGACGGATGTTCGCGGCCGACGATCATGCGGTTCATTCGCCACGTGCTCTCTGCCCTCTCTGAAGCACTTACACCACTCAAACACACGGGTCTGTAAGAGAGACTCTTCACCATACTGTTGTTGGAGTCTGGTGAATTTCAGCAGACAGGACGTTTTCCCCAATGAGGAATTTTATCACAATGCGTTGTTCCACACTCCGTGGTACCTTCTGTTCGCGCATCACTCTAGCAACTCCCAGACAGGACTGAACAGGAGGGAGGGTGGAGGTTGTTGCTTCACTCTTTCAAGGTCGCACAGCTGCTGCGCAGTGCAGCTTGTTTACACACAAATCAGTCCCAGTCATATTTGAACCAACTTGTACCTTTCCACTCTTGCATTTAGTCAAATCAGTTTGGCATCTCTTAACATGCATATTGTTCCATAAGCTAAAGCAGTAAAGTTCAACCATAATATTTAAAATGTTACTTTCAACAAACCACTTAAAAAATTATATTTACATTTTTAAAGGGGTCATTCCATGTGAAATCATCCAGAAAGGTCGCTCACCATTTTTAAAAAAAATTATATTTTGTACACTTATTTATACATATTTTCATACTACAAAAAAATTTTTAAAAAAATTCTAATCCGCTCAGTTCTCTCGGTACAGGCGTTTTTATAATGCGAAAAAACGCGTTTTCGGCTGAAATGGAGGTTTGCGTTATCTTCCATATCTCGATAACTATTGAAGCTACAGACTCCAATAAAAACGCTATTTGTTCCTCATGATATGGACTACAAATCATATTATTACAAGTTTTTACTCAGCTCACTTTCTGTAGGTGTAATTAAACTTGAAACTTACCTATCGATTTTGGGAAAAACGCTATTTTTGACCTTCAAAAACCAATGGGAGGGGGAAAGTATCAGATCTGTGATTTCTACCATTTGTTGTTACCTATATGGGGAATATAATCACTTAGTTTTGAATCCCGTACCTAGTTTCCAAAATTTTCCAGGAGCTTCCAAACTTTGCTCTGGGCCCCAAATCGGCCATTTTTAACATCTCATATCTCCGGTGGGGAAGCTCAGAAAATTTTTAAATTCCTAGAAGATAATGCTCTATTCTAGAGTAACTTGGAGTTAAAATTAGAACTTTGATATTCAATTAATGGCGAAGTTCTTATAATGCGAATAAACGCGTTTTCGGCTGAAATGGAGGTTTGCGTTATCTTCCATATCTCGATAACTATTGAAGCTAGGGACTCCAATAAGAAATCAGTTTGTTCCCCATGATATGGACTATAAATCATATTATTACAAGGTTTTACTCAACTCGCTTCCTCTAGGTCTAATTAAGCTCGAAATTTACCTATCGATTTTGGGAAAACCGCTATTTTTGACCTTCAAAAACCAATGGGAGGGGGAAAGTATCAGATCTGAGGTTTCTACCCTTTGTTGTTACCTACATGGGGAATATGATCACGTAGTTTTGAACCCCGTACCTAGTTTCCAAAATTTTCAAGGAGATTTCAAACTTTGCTCTGGGCCCAAAATCGACCATTTTTAACATCTCATATCTCCGGTGGAGAAACTCCGAAAATTTTTAAATTCATAGCAAATAATGCTCTATTCTAGAGTAACTTGGAGATAAAATTAAAACTTTGTTATTCAACTAGTAGCGAAGTTGTGGGCACTTTGACTTTTACAAAAAAATCAATACCTCGATAATTGGCTTACCTGCATCCAATAGTATTAGTTCTTTGTGTACTCCGATGAAAATCGTCCAGTTTGTTTGAAAGTAGTTCAGGAATTGTCCACTACCACGATGTCTTCGAAATCATCGGACTTAGATGTTTTATAACACCTGACCGTGTTTTCCTCCAGAGGGACGACCCGGTGTTTTTCTCTTGTATGGGGCACAGTTTTGCACTTTTGGAACCTGCTTTTTAGAATGATTTCATTTCTTGCAACTTCCTCTGTTGGCACAAAAAAGTAAACTATCCCTGAGATATTTTCTGTGCAGAATTTGTACAGTTCTAGCGGGCACATGATTTGATTAAAATGAGTTCTCTGAAGACTGGCTTTCGTTGCTTGCCTCTTCGTGGTGCCGCCAATACCGTCACAGGCATTCTTCCCGTGCGAGGTGGCAAAGAAGTTCCATTCTGCTTGAAGACCGAAGTCTTCATAGTGATGACATAAATTGGAAAGATTCTTTTTGTTTTTATATTGGCTTCCAGCGCCATCACTGAAATAAATAACTTTCCTGACTGAAGGCACATTTTCTTTTATATCGGCGATAAGATATTTTTGGAACACGTAAACTGTGGCTGTATCGTGCTTTACATGATCACTGATTATACACAAGCTTCGGCATTTTGTTATATTGTCCGCCTTGTAGTAATACACAAATGGGTGAAGTGTAGCCTGTTGATTTACCCAATGGAAACTTTGAATCTCGTCTTGAACGAGAAACGAATAGTTTTCTGCAAAATCTGCAAGAACGAGACACTGTGTTTCGTCCAGGCTTTCCCTCGTTTCTTTCAAATACTGGGACTGAATTTTAGCGACGTAGTGATGTTTTTTCAGTTCTGTCAGTTTTTCAATTAGAGATTCGCAGAATTCACTGTAAGTTTGCATTACAGAAATCATGTTAGCTCTGTCTGTGTTGACCCATTGTTTGTAGACTATTTGATCCGGCATGCTCTCAGATTCGGCTGATAGCAATTCCGTCAGAATTTCTTCTCCAGGGCAGTCTGCGCATTCATTACTCATGCACTTATAACTTTCGATGTCACAAACCATTACACGTAATAAATCCTTGTAGTCCGAATTCAATGTTGCTCCCTCTACCATCAGCTTAACATTTTGGTGATAGCTGCACACACAAACGGTATGAGTCCCCGATGCACCAGCAATGATACACCACTTCGGTCGAAGTGCACAAAATTTGGAGAAACCAATTTTGTGTTCAGGTTGCGTATTCTTAAAGTGAATGTAAAGTTCCATCAAATTGCATAGTATCAGCCGTTTCTGCATATGCTCTTTGATACCTCCCACGTTAACACTCACACAATCCTTTTTTCCAGGGCAGATCCTACTGTTTTCATTGTTTTCATAAAATTCCGTGACAGCCTGAATTGTTTCGTCACGAACTGGATGGCCACGCCTTTTGCCTAAATCCGGAAGGATCCCTTGCGTCTTCTGAAGCGCTCGAGTAATTCTAACCAAGTGCTCAGAAACTTGAAATTCTTGACTTATCTTCTGTCTTGACCACGAAGTTGGCAATAAGCTAATGATTTTAATTTTTTCCTCTTTGTTTGAGATTAAACATTTCTCCTTTAATTTGTTAATCAACAAATCATACTCCTCACTTAATGCAAAGGAAGGTATTTGTTCATCTGAATCAAGACCCATCGAGTCGTCTGAAAATGAACTCGCTAGTTTCCTTCGAAGAGAGTCGGATATTCTTCTACATTTTTTTGATAAAGCAGCGGGTCTTTTCCCAGTATTCATCTTCATAATTTTAGCCACAGGAGAAATATCTAGAGCCGAACATACTGCTTCTAATTCTGCCACATTTTCTTGCATAGGTGCAAACTCGCTCCTTCCAGAACCACTACTGCCCCCACTTACGGTTTCTTTAAGAACAAAAATCTTTGTGTAACAATTAGGACACAAGGATTTACCTGGTACTAGAGCTACCGGAAAATTCTTTTCTTTCTTGAGATGTTCTAATGAAATTTCACGTAAACCTTTCTTAATGGTTCGTTTGTGCACTTTTAGCGGGTCACAACAAATGTTTCCAAACAGGTGATTGTATTTAACAGAATATTTAATCTCATGATGCTTGCATATGGACCTCAAATCGCATTCACCCAATCTTAACTTTAAAACAGTTTGTTTCTCTTCACCCAATTCACTCACAAGCGTTAACTGTTTGTTGACGGCACCATACGTAGTCTTATGGCATTCTTCACGTGTGACAATACCTATAGAACATTCCATTTCAAAAACTTTTTCCTTTCGACTTAGAGAATACCGAGCTCGATACACGTAAAAGATCTACAGTTGCTGAACATACACTGACTTACAGTTCGAGACAGCATTCATGTGAATGCTTCATGCTGCTGAGAAAGCAGCCTAACACTAACATCACGATTACAAAAGTTTGGGTTCAGATGTCAAAACACACAAGGCGCGAAATAAGGGACGTAGATGTAGGTCCATGTTTATAGCCAGAGCTTAGCTCTAAGAACCGAGTGTTGATAACATGTCATTCCGAGCAGTAAGTACAGGCCTGAAAATGATTTTAGTGACAAAATATAGATCTCTCGTCTTTTATACCAAATAAAGAACCGGCAATACCATTGGATGCAGGTAAGCCAATTATCGAGGTATTGATTTTTTCGTAAAATTCAAAGTGCCCACAACATCGCTATTAGTTGAATATCAAAGTTGTAATTCTATCTCCAAGTTACTCTAGAATAGAGCATTATTTGCTATGAATTTCAAAATTTTCGGAGTTTCTCCACCGAAGATATGAGATGTTAAAAATGGTCGATTTTGGGCCCAGAGCAAAGTTTGAAATCTCCTTGAAAATTTTGGAAACTAGGTACGGGGTTCAAAACTACGTGATCATATTCCCCATGTAGGTAACAACAAAGGGTAGAAACCTCAGATCTGATACTTTCCCCCTCCCATTGGTTTTTGAAGGTCAAAAATAGCGGTTTTCCCAAAATCGATAGGTAAATTTCGAGCTTAATTAGACCTAGAGGAAGCGAGTTGAGTAAAACCTTGTAATAATATGATTTATAGTCCATATCATGGGGAACAAACTGATTTCTTATTGGAGTCCCTAGCTTCAATAGTTATCGAGATATGGAAGATAACGCAAACCTCCATTTCAGCCGAAAACGCGTTTATTCGCATTATAAGAACTTCGCCATTAATTGAATATCAAAGTTCTAATTTTAACTCCAAGTTACTCTAGAATAGAGCATTATCTTCTAGGAATTTAAAAATTTTCTGAGCTTCCCCACCGGAGATATGAGATGTTAAAAATGGCCGATTTGGGGCCCAGAGCAAAGTTTGGAAGCTCCTGGAAAATTTTGGAAACTAGGTACGGGATTCAAAACTAAGTGATTATATTCCCCATATAGGTAACAACAAATGGTAGAAATCACAGATCTGATACTTTCCCCCTCCCATTGGTTTTTGAAGGTCAAAAATAGCGTTTTTCCCAAAATCGATAGGTAAGTTTCAAGTTTAATTACACCTACAGAAAGTGAGCTGAGTAAAAACTTGTAATAATATGATTTGTAGTCCATATCATGAGGAACAAATAGCGTTTTTATTGGAGTCTGTAGCTTCAATAGTTATCGAGATATGGAAGATAACGCAAACCTCCATTTCAGCCGAAAACGCGTTTTTTCGCATTATAAAAACGCCTGTACCGAGAGAACTGAGCAGATTAGAATTTTTTTAAAATTTTTTTTGTAGTGTGAAAATATGTATAAATAAGTGTACAAAATATAATTTTTTTTAAAAATGGTGAGCGACCTTTCTGGATGATTTCACATGGAATGACCCAAAGATGATTTAGTATAATAAAGTAACTGAAATCTGAATACTTACTTATGGGAATATTTGTTTCTAACAGTTGTCAGGGCTGTTTTTGGCTTCTTATGAAGCATTGCATTAAGCTGGTGTGCAAGGTGCCCAATATCTTCCAACTTGTAACCTGAAAAGTAATGCACTTGAACACAAATGTTGATAGTGACCTCTTGTAAGGTTGTAAGTTAACACCACATATACACGGTGCCAAATCCCAGAAGACTGCATTCTTCTTGTAAGGTTGTTTATTTAGACTTTTTGCCAGTTTAAGTACAAAAATTGGAATAGCAGTGTTATGTGACCCCATTGATGAAGTACCACGAAAGTAGCTGTTACCAATAGATGGAATTTGCAGTTTACTTAAAAGTGCTGTGAGTATCTTCAGACTATGTTGTGTCTAATGGAAGAATGATCAGTGGATTGGAAAGGATGTGGATGTGGCCTAATTGAGGTACTGTCCTGGCATTTGCATGACTGGTGTGAGGGAAACCATGAAAAACCAGTGAGAATAGTCAGCTGAGATGTGAATTGGGCACCTCTTGAATACAAGGCAGAAATGTCACTGCTTGAACCAACAGATAACAGATCTTAAAGACAGGCCTTTAATACAAATAGGAGGTAATTACATATAACAAGAACTTCTGGGAAGAACTATTCATCTGCTTTGCTTAGGTATGACATGGACCACATAGAAAATCGACAGTTCTTCATTGCCATGGGAACGTCTTTGCTGAGTTGCTACCTAGCAACAACAGGGGGATACAAAGACAGACCCACAGACACATGCATCAGACAATACTCTTTGTGTTTTTTCGTTACCACGGGAACATGTTTACTGAGCCTTCGTCTCGCAGTGATATGAAGGATACACATACAGACACGCAGACTGATGGGAGGGACTTATGAAGTATGCGAACGAGATGGGCTCAGTTGCCATGATATATACCACATGTCATAAAGACTGAGTCAGCTATTCAGAAGTTGGTAAGGGAGGATACAAAGAGCTTGGAGATCACATAAGCCTACTTCAGTTTTTTTTCTTTTCAAAATAAGGAAAGAAGGCTAGACTATACAAATGTTGGATAGTTAATGAAGTGTCTAAAAATATGGAATACAAAAGCTTACACAAGAAATGAGGTGTTTTCTGACCTGAACTCTGAAAGAAGCATGTTTGGTGCATTTGCAGTACAATGAATTTCAAATGTAGATTTTCCATTTCAACATTTTATGGAACACTTCCATATTATAGCCACTAGAGGACTCCAGAAACTTAATGGCATATATTCTGCAGTGAGAATTTTGAAAGATCAAAGATCACACCTGAATAATATTGTAGTGTTGGTGTCCAGCCACCTAGAAGTTTTGTTTTCAGTGCTAATAATAATGCTGCTGCCGCCATCTTGGAACTTGACTCTGACACAAAGCTATATTCCAGAAGTGATGACTCCAGAATATATCGTGCCAGTGTAAGTGTTGACAAAGAAAGTTTAGCACACTGTAAACAAGTAAACAAAGCAACTCTATAAAAATGTATACATACAAGTTCTCTAAAGTGGCATTTAACTGATTTTGAAATATAAATGATGGGATAAGCAAAAGTGATACTCTACCCTTGCATATCGGCGCAGAAACCTGTATGACAGGGGAATCCCAAGATTAAAATCGACTACTTTTAGCAGATTGGTTTCCATTTTTATTAGTTCACTGTGAGTATATGCACCATCACAGATATAGAGGAAGTCTTCTACAAGAGGAGGAATACGTTCCTAAAATTAAAGGTTTTATTAGTATTATTTGTATCACACTAATAATGCATTATGTAAACTAATCATGAATATTGGAACAAGATGAAAATTATCACCTAAGTATATCTAGTTTGCAAGATTAGAGGTTTTCACGGCAGTGACTATGAAGAAAGCAGTCTTCTGGGATGTGGTGCCATGTAGGTGTGGTGTTAACCGACGTTTCGGAGGAACGTATCGCCTCCATCTTCAGGGTAGAAGGAAAAATAAGAAAATCCACAAGCAAAGAAACAGTGAGAGCAGTTGCAAGCAGACTAATATCTGAAATAAACTCAGCTGTATGAGAGCAGGAAAGGAAGGGACAGGTCTACGAAGGAAATCAGTGGAGAGGGAGAGGGGAAGGGTCTGGGGAGCCCTAGCAAGGTTAGAGCAGGTATAGGATATTGTGTCGGGGGAGAAAGGCAAGGTTAATGGGAGGACATTAACCCTTAAGCTGGGGCTTGCTATGCGAGTCAGTCATGGACTGTGTGGCCTTGTGGATGTGGCGTCATGTCCCAGGGGCATTTTAGGGAACAGATGAGAGGCTTCTATGACTTGCTCAGACAAAATCCCCCTTCTCTGTTCATAGTGTTGGGATGGAGTTCAATCTCAATGGTCTCCCTAATGATGCCATCCATATAACGGGTCTTGGTGGCGAGGATGGAGGTATTCTGAAGTTGAAGGCAGTGTCCCAAATTGATGTCGTGTTCAGCTACAACTGACTTGTCCAGATGTTCGAGACGGATGAGCCACTGATGCTCCTTCAACCTCATGTCCACAGAACGGCCCACCTGACCAATGTAGACCTTGCCACACTCACATGGGATACTGAATACACCTGGTGTCCTTAGTCAAAGGCTATCTTTGACCGGCCAGAGGAAACTGGATAATTTGTTTGGAGACAGACCCACTGATTTGATGTTGTGCCAGGACATCACTCCGCTGATATGGTTGAATACAGTCCCGACATAGGGCAGGAAGGTGGCGGAGCCCGGTTAACACCACATCTACATGACGCCACATTCCAGAAGACTGCTTTCTTTATATCTAGTTTGTTTCCTTATGATTTGTAAAGTTTCCCTTCAATATGGCAAACCCCCTGAAGTTGGTCTTGTATGACTAAAAATTGTTGGCATTTTTACATGTAATCAACACAACAAAATAAATTAATTACTTTGACAGTAATGTCCATCTTATTCTAACAGACAGAATACTCAGGAAATGAACTCTAATTGAACGTGTTAGATGAGCTGAGTGGGACACTGTATTTGTACACATACATGTATGAAGTAGGTTTTATTTGATTTAGATAAATATTATTTACATATTTACAAACTTACTTTTTATTTTTCTGGGGAGTAAAGTGCGGCCGGCACGTAAGGCTGAAAACCTTACCGACATCTTTGAGCCGATTGTCTAGATAATGTGGGACCCTCAACATCATACAACCCTATGGGCCTTCACGGCCTGGTACAGGGATAGCTTTACTTTTACTTACAAACTTACTTTTAGTAAATAACCTAGCAATTCTTCCAAATGTAATTAGATACTACTTACATCAAACTTGCTAGCAATAAACATAGCTGCTGCACCAATCAACTGAAGTGTTTCTTTGCCAACTACAATTTTGTCCAAGTAAAGGTCAACTAATTTTACTGCTAAGTACAGTGTTTCATGATTAAGTTCAAAACTTTCCTGGACCTCCACCATCCAGTCAACAAGAAGTGATCGCATCCACTGTGAAATTGATGGTTGTCTTACCATATAATTTTTAACTATAAACAGTACCTGAAAGAAAATAACATTTGATAGCATACTGCAATCACATTAAGGAGATAACAGGATCATATCAAGACAAGTCGGAATAAAGGAGTGTAAAGGGGAGGACACGCCTTGAAACCTACACCACTTTACCTATTTGGACCACTACTGGGTACAAAAATAATAATAATAGTATATCACTATCAAAATGTAGATGATCAAAGATGAGCAATTTCCTCCAGTTTCAACTTGTCACTAAAATTCTTATGATGATTTTGACAAAATGTACTTTACACTTGGTGCTGAGCTTTATTTCATTTTTACCAATCCCTGTGACTATAGTATTCACTATAGTTATTGCCTCGTAACTTTAGCAGCGCGGAAAGGTAAACGCTGCTGTGGAGCACGCGAAGCTGTACGCTTGCTGTGGTGACATTCAGAGCTACTTCCCGAGCGGAAAACATTCCCTACGGAGACCAGGAGTAGATACCGTGGAATTGGACATGAACACCACGTAATACAATCGCTATGACTGGTACCAACTAACAATCAACACAATGTACTATACAACTGACCACACTCCAAGACGCTACATTCCAAACTGGTGGTACCCACACTGACATAAGCTGATAAGACTGCTCCCCCACCTCCGCGAGAGATGGTATGACTCCTCTACCACGGCCAGAGTTCGAGGAACTAACAGTACCATCAGTCGGAATTCTGTGAATTACTGTCCCTCTAATGTCCTTTTGCTTACATTGTGTAAGATTATAGTATATTCACTTTTCATTCAGCTCCATATTGAGGCCATGGAAATAATTCCATGGACTTTGGGGATGACAGGAATCAAGACTGACTTTTCTGTTACATTTCCCTCCAGCCCCCAGCCAGTGTTTGTCACTAGTGAAGGTTATTACATGGTTATCATACTAGTATTTCTGTAAACAGATTTGCTAGACTGGAGGGAGATGTGCAGGGGCCAATCAAAAGTACTTTCTGTGGCCTCAGCACAGTGCAATTTCATTTCATCTTCTATAACAGAGATTCTCAAGTGTGACCACTGTGGCTTAATACAGCCACCAGCTATCTTGACTAATAATAATTTATTTTGTTGATAAGCTTTTAAGAGTATTGATACAAGCTTTCTTCATATTTTCTGTATAACTGACCATTTTTATGTCGGTGGTGTGGATCTGTGCTATATGACTGCAAACATTCATCTTTTCTTGAAAAGCAAGTACACCTACCACAACTGAAAGATGAAAAATTCTTTGGTTTTCTGTCGAAGAATGTCCAGTGAGCTTGTTCCCAGTTAATAAGCTGTTGTATATTAAGGTAACTGCATATTCCTCATGCTTTACTTTAAATTGTAAATTAATGACAATTTTCTTTGCAACTGTGTTATGTTTTAAGTCATGCAGCCACAAAACATGTCTCTTTCAGTTATGGCTGTGGGAAACTTTTTGCTCGAGAACCACTGTTCCATAACATTATCAGTAAATGCTAAGATTTATCTGGCTCATTCACTGCTTATAATGCACCAATGTAGTTTCCGTTGAAACCGCTCCAGTATTCAAGTTTGTCATGAGCCTTGGACAATGCTGACATTTAAAGTAAAATGATATCTGTAACAAAAATTGGTTCTCTGATCTGATTTTATAAATTATATTGGCCAATTTGAATGCTCTGATTCAAGAAAAGTTTAAATATAAAATTATCTAACTATTTAAATTGACATGCTAAGGACTAAAATGTCTGTCAGTCTAATTTATGTTGCTGCAAACTTAATTTCTATCCAAGTTATGGGTGGCTCACTTCTCTCTCCTTGAGATAGTTGAAGATATCCATAGCATACAGAGAAACTTGAAAAGGGTCATTTAAAGTTTCTTTATCAAAGTCCTCAACACCTTCTGGCAATCTAGCAGTGGTACTGCTCTTGCATATGGAAGCTTTTGGAGATGGTGCTTGTTCTAGTATTGGAAATTCAAGCATTTGTGGTTCATCATGACTGTTTGAACCATCATTCTGACTGAAACAAACAAAAGAGACAATTTGCTAAAACATCATTTATCAAATTTCCATTGATCCCATTTTTAATGATTACAAATTATGATTAACTGCCCATACACTTCGATTTACTTATTGTTTATATAATGTCTGTAGCTTGGACCATGCTGTGTTAATTAGTAGGATGTCAGTAAATAATAAAATGGAAAAGATGTGGAAGGAAGCAATGCATGGCTTAATTTGAGGTCCTATATTGGTATTTGTGTGGAGGTACTGAGGAATGCCTCTTTTTCTTTTTAATTCGCTTAGTGGGGGGTGGAGTCCAACTGGGTCCACTTGGCACAGCGGCCACTGATTGGCTTATTATACCTGCCCCGGGTGATTATGATGGAGAATTTGGTGGAATGAAGATTGGCAGGGGAAACCGAAGTACTCGGAGAAAACCTGCCCCAGCGCCACTTTGTCCACCACAAATCCCACTTGACCAGACCTGGAATCGAACCTGGGCCGCCGCGGTGGGAAGCCAGTGACTAACCGCTTGAGCTATGGTATGGCCTAAGAAACACCTGTCAGGGTAACCAGTCTCCAGATGGAGATTTAAACCTGGAACCTCTGGAATATGAAGCAGGAGGGCTTGACCATGATATTTGGTCCAAAAATTTCAAAATATATTGTACATTTGCTATCTTAGAAATATATTATAAAGCACAATAGAAGGCAGATTTTTTGTCAGAAATGGATCCTATCCCCATCTTTGTGTGACTTTTGCCACTATCCTAAGAGCATTCCCACCCCCTTATGCCAGGAACTGGAGTCAAAACTGAACCCTCTGAATAAACTCTAATATGCCAGCAAGATAATTCCATATCATCTTCATATGTAAAAGACAAAGGCTTCCCATTCTGTTGTGACATAGCAGAGTCATTAGAAGTTACAGGCAGAATCAGAAGATACCAGCATTGAAGAAAGTGAGCCATATCTATGCTGTAGCTGGTACTGTGGTCTCACCCTTTGCCAAAAAAGTCAGCTCTAACTAGCAGCATTGCTTCTTTTATTAAGCTGTCCTTCCAGACATTTTAAATTCATAGCATTTATATTCAGTGAAACTGTAATTCTGAAGTGTCCCTAAAAGTGATATAATATGTAAGAGAGGTAAATAGGTTATATGTGGACAGTGAAACTGGAGATAAAAATTTTCAAACTTTCCCACTGAAATTTCAACAGAATTTATACTAATGACTTATGTTCATGATGTGTATTTGTACCAACCGTCTTACAGTGCACACAATTTCACAATACACATCATGAACGTGAATCAGTACAAAAGGATGCTAAAATATAACATTATTAGTGACTTAACTTACGTGTCATCTAGGGCTGATACATACAATGAACTGTTCCCACTGTTATCTTTGCTGGATAAATTGATCTCCTGTTGTTCAGAAATTACACTAATATCCTCTTTAATTTCTTTTTCAAGCACTTGGGATGTGCCTGACTTTGTACTGACTTCTTCATTCTTCTGTCTTACTACTTTGGGTTTTGTTGAAACAGGAAATTTCTTTAGAGTGGTATGAGTTTTGAGTACAGGTTGAATAGCTGTGCTTTTATTTGGCACAGTTACTGTTACTTTCATATTAGCTTTCTCATTGCCTTTAGGATCAGCTTTTTTTACAATAATCTTCTTTGATAATTTCTTTACATCTTGTGATGTGATGTTACTTTCACGTGCCTATAAAAGGAAAATGTATTAATTACATAAAGCCTTCTTGGGCCATAAGCCATGTCACAGGTGAGCTAAAAACCAACCTTTTGGAGACTTGCTGTCTCCATCATGGTCAATATGGGGTGTAAGTTGATTATGTATATGTCTCTCTTAGCTAATGCAATGTCTTCTTTTTATAATGTACACACATGTGCGCCAATATCAGCAACTTGTGATTGCACCCTTCATCAATCCAGATAATTGAAACTGAATCAAAACATTGGCTTCTAGCCTAACAAAGAAGATTTTAGGGCATAAATTCACCATGAAAGTTTGAAATTTTACATTACACCATTACTGTTTAATATGAGGACTATTCAGAAAGTAACCTCTGGTGAGCTATTAAAGAAACAAGCGATTATTGTGCATATTGACATGGAATATGTCTGTCCACTGGATGGGTCAGATGATTTACAGTGGGCCCTCATAATCTCCCTGGAGCATCAATCTGTTACTGAAGTAGATTCTTCAATGCAAGTGAAAAGCGACAATGTGTTATTACAGGCTTTCAAGTATATTTCTTACATATTATTAATTTAATATGTATACTTTTTATGAAGTACAGGAAACCTTTCTGAGGTACGAAGCCTCCCTTTAAATATTTTGACTGATTACATAAGTTCTTATATTATTATAAAAACAGAACTATTCATATTTGGTAAAATTCTACTCACATTTGTAATATCTCCAAATGCGGATCGTTTAAGAGTTTTATCGTTGGGCGGAGAACCTTCGGCTTTTCTCTTCGGTAATTCGCTTTCTTTCCCTTCACTTTTACTTGTATTTGCTGCATTTTTACTTCGAGTAATAGCACCTTTCTTCGAAGCCGCAGTTGAAATTTGTTGATTCATTTTCTTATGAGGCCGCATATCTAAAATTACAGCCTATATTACATGAATAAGTTAATACCATTGCACTGATATTAAAAAATGTTTGACATTTTTATACAAGAAAACCGTTACTTCCTGTGGTTTAAATACCAATACCCGACAACTTCCAAATTTCTACTAAAATACTTAAGAGAGTGGAAACTAAAGGTTATTTGCAGTGAAATGTGATACTAACTTTATATCCCACGTGGAAATTGCACAGAAGATGATGATATAGACTGAAATATCGCCTACAATCTTTCTCGTACTTATAATAAAGAACCGACGAATTATCCCTTTTATCAACTGCAACGCTTTTTCAAATTTGTAAACCAGTCTATGCTATTGGCTGAGTGTGGAACCTGACCTATTATTGGTCGTTATTGGTGAACGTCGGACGATAAACAAATGACGCACGAGGATCGAGACTCGTTATGGTTATGAGCGACCTCTGACGAATTGCTGACAAAACAAGTTTTAGAGTTTTAGAGCATGTCAGAATAAACTTAATATGATATTAACCTTTTTCTTATGTAAATTATAACATTTTCTTAAATTTCAATCATATTGTATAAACAGTTATTTCGCAAGCGATGACTGTTGCTTGTACGAAATAAATAATTGGACATAATAATCAGCTGTTTTCAGTGTGATCAGCTGATTGTGCGAAGGCATGTGTTTTGATTGTAATAGGTCGGTGATGTGTTTTGTATGTATTAGAAGGGAAACTGGCTCGTAAATAGAAAAATGAGGGACGAGACATTTTACATCAAATATATGTCAGTATATAATTGTTTCTTGCACTTTTCTGAAAGGTGTCTAGAAAAGTTTAAGAATTCAAACACCCTGGTGAGTTTCTTAGATTTAAACGAAGTTACGTTTTCAGCTCAGGAACATTATGATCGTTCGTCTATACTTGCTAGGAAGGTACCGCAATAACATACCTTGGTGACACAAGTAGTTGAGAATTCATTTTTGCTGTAGCATCATCGTTATCATTTGAGTTTTGACCTTAACTGTAAGAAAATATATTGCGAACTATAATTAATATATCTGATTAAGTAGCCGAGGAATTTGCTTATGCATTCGCACATAGAGTGATGGACTGCCGAGTTCTTGCCATGAAATTCTAGTTCCCCCTGCATGTAAACAAAGTGTTTGACAGGTTTATAAGTGCAGAACTTAACTGCGTGCATACTTTTACTTGATGCACTTTCTGATTGAATGTAACTCAGTGCATGTCATTTACAGTTCTGAATACTTCGTATATTTATTTCTGGAGTCTAGATTAGAAGTAGCAACTTCTGAGTTAATTTGTGTCACAAAATTTTATTTAATGTCTGTTCCTTTTCTACAGTCACATGTACTAAAACTGGAGTACGGCTCAAAGAAATGTGGTTATTTTTCTTGCAACCCCGTATCACATTGTATAAACAATAATAATATTGTTGGCATAAGTGCTACTTATGCTCAGAAGCTTGGTTTAAAGGATGAGGAAAAGGTAACAGTTTCACTTTGCTTCAGTGTTCCTGCAGTCAGCAGAATAAATGTATCTCCTGTAACAGCAGATGACTGGGAAATTTTGGTAAGTTTATGTTTGGCAAAATCTGCTTTATTGTCTTATAAAAAAGTATAGGCATATAAGAATTTATGGTTACTGGGGATTGTGTTTTTAGTTTTCTGTATTTGTGTATATAAGATAAGTTGTATTTATGAGAATTTATAGTAGATAAGTTTACATGTTTGGATGAGTGAATTGGTATAAGGAAAGGCAAACTTAAAAGAGTTTATAGTCAGCAAGCAGCCTGGTATCCTTCTTCTGTAATGCAAGATGGGTTTCTTAGATATTTATGTCATGCACAGGCAAGATGGCAGACAATACAACTCACTCCATGACTACGCAAAGTGTAAGTAGAAAAAATGAACTAACGGTCAGTGATTATATCTGTGTGCAGTGTATAGAATTAAGGAACAAGCTTAAAGAAACTCTGGAAGAACTAAAATCTGCTCAATTAATTATAGAACTTTTACAACAAGAATCTTCTACCGGAATAACCTCAAATCAATATGATGTTAATAGAAACGATATATCTCATGTAGCTACTCTTCAAGTTGTAAATGCAGATTGGGTGGAAGTGAGTTCTAGTTGCTGTGGTGTAACTAGTAAAAAGATAAATTATTAAAAAAGGTACCAACCAAGGCAAATGTGCAGCTAACACTATCAAATCGATGTTCAGTCTTTGAAGAGGATAATACTGAGGAAGGTTGTACAGTTCACACAACTGTAGACAAAATCAGTTGACTAATTGAGACGGACTTAAAGAGCAAAATAATGTTATTAGCAAAACAGTTTGGAACCTGCGTGATCAACAAGAACAACAGTGTATCCAATGATTATATGATATATATAAGAATAATAAGGTAGTAGCCCTAACCCAGATCACTAAATTTATACAAAGAAACTATGGCATTAATATTATAATCTTAATTATTCCACAGAGATATTATCTTTCACTTTCCTCGTGTGTGAATTCTGAAATTGAAGAATTTAGTAAGTAAAAAGTAAAACTATCCCTGTAACAGGCCGTGGAGGCCCATAGGGTTGTGAGACGTTGAGGGTCCCACATTATGTAGACAGTTGGTTCAAAGATGGCGGTAACGTTGTCAGCCTTACATGCCGGCCGCATTTTACACCCCAGGAAATTTATTTAATTAATTCCTGGTACTTAGTAGAATGTTAAAAAAATTGCTCTCATACAACCATGTCTCACTGTTAGAAACACATCTTAAGCGAGAATGTTTCACAAAGCATGGTCTGCACTGGAATTTTCTAGGAAAGACTTTAGTAGTGAAACTTATACTCCGACAAATTAATAAATTTATGGGAAAATGATTTCAAACTCTGATCAGTCTTATCTATAAAGATAACATTATGCTGGATAACATTGGTAGCTGTAATGAAGAGATGACAACTTTATTTGGCAATGTAAATTTAAATAGTGAAAATATAAGAAACAATGAACTATGGAAGCAACAGCAGGTAATTGGAATAAACAAAATTAATATCTGTAGAACCTCTGTTAGGCAAAGAAAGGCACCTGTAACTAGAAGGGAGGATTTTTTATGGTAAACCCCTCACCTGATGTAATTGATAGAGACTTTAATAATTTGAGGGGTGATGAGGCTGAGGGAAGCTCAATAAGCCAAATAGGGGAAATAGACAACATTATGAACTTAATAGATTACTTACTTACTTACTCACTTACTCACTCACTCACTCACTCATGGAGCTCAGCCCTTCTGAAGGAGCTGCCAATTCTGCAGCTACTCAATAACTTCCCAGCATTTTATGGACCCCAAAGGTTCATTACCATGTTCACAAGAGCCCTCCACCAGTCCCTATCTTTAGCCAGATCAATCCAATCCATACCATCCCATCCTGTCTAAGATCCATTTTAATATTATCCACCCACTTACACCTTGGTCTTCCTAGTGGTCTCTCTCCTTCTGGCTTTCCCACCAATATCCTATATGCATTCCTCTTCTTCTGCGTTCGTGCTACATGCGCTTCCCACCTCATCCTCTTTGACTTGATCATTCTAATTATACTTGGAGGAGAGTAAAAGTTATGAAGCTCCTCATTATGCAGTCTTCTCCAACCTCCTGTCACTTCATCTCTCTTCAGTCCAAATATTCTCCTAAACTCCCTCAGTCTATGTTCCCTTAATGTCAGAGACCAAGTTTCACACCCATACAGAACCACAGGCAAAATTATATTTTTGTATATTCTGATTTTTATGTTTTTGGACAGCAGACGATGTGACGAAAGGTTCTGGACTGAATAGTAGCTAGCATTACCCGAGTTCAATCTCCTTAATTTCCTCCTGAATCAGGTTTCAGTATCTGATGAATGCAAAAGATCTGATCTGTAGTTGATCTGTTACGTCAAAATCCACACTGATGATCCCCAATAATTTCATCTATGTTATAATAATAATAACTTAATAGATAGTACTGTTAAACATAATTTGAATGATGAGCAGATATCATATAATTATCCTAACAATAATAATCATCTTTCTGTACATCAAATATTTACTAATATTTTGAGAGTTTTTCACCATAGTGTTAGAGGTTTAAAATATAAGACTGATGAGTTATTAAGTGCTTTATGCCCCTGATTTTCCACACATTTTATGTTAAATGGAACACCGTACAAATTCTCTAGAAAGGAACAATATTACTATTGATCATTACAACCTTGGTGCTATGTACTGTAGGAAATTTTTAAGTAAAGGTAGTGTATGTATTTTCTTGCACAACTCCATAAATTATTTAAATACTGACTTGGATATATTTTGTATAGATCATATTATTTAAATATGTGCTGTTAAACTTCAAGCAGTCGGGCAAAATATTTGTATATTAGCTGTTTATAGGGCACCATCTGGGAATTTTTACAATTTTTAAATAGTCTAGAAAGAGCTTTAAATACTATGTATAGCTATGGTATCGAATTTATTTTATGAGGTGACATAAATATAAAATACCTAAAGGATACCCCTAGAAAAAACAACTTATCACTTTGTTATTGTCATTTAATCTTTTTTCTATAATAGATTTTCCAACCAGAAGTCATAATAATTCTGTCTCATTAACTGATAATATATTTATCGACCACTTTCAATCTGGGAAGTATTTGGTATATCCTATGATCAATGGATTATCTGATCATGATGCACAATTTCTAATTATTAAAAATATCTACCTTCAAATTCATAAACATGAAATTTCAACTACAAGAATTTTTATTGATCAGTCTTTGCTTAATTTCAAAATACAATTAAGCTACGAAACGTGGGATGATGTATTCAGTGGTAATGATGTTGATATTATCTTTAACTCCTTTTTAAATACATATTTGAAAATTTTCTATTCTTTTTTTTTCATTAAAAAAACAACTAGTTCCAAGAAAAAATCAATAACTGGATAACACCAGGTGTAAAAATCTGTTGTCGATGTAGGTGGGAACTTTGCTTGTTGTACAGAATAATGACATAAATTTTAAAAGTTATTATAAATTATATTTTAGAATTTTATCCAGTGTTATTAGTGCAGCCAAAAGACTTCATTATGATGGGTGAATCTTAAATTCAAAGAATAAAATGAAAAATCAGTTGGAATATCATCAAATGTGTAACAGGTAAAAGGTCTGCGAACAAATCATTTCAGTCAGTATATATAAATGGTAATTTAACTGAGAATCAACAAGTTATAGCGGTTTCTTTTCAAACCCACTTTTTATCAATAGCTGATAAGACAATTTTTAATATCAATAACAGTGTGGATATAAAAGATAACAATTGCATTGATTATTTATTCAGAGTTTTTATGAACCCATTCCAAAATTTGATCGTACGACGACTAAGGAAAATGAAAAAATTATTAAATCCCTTAAATCCAAAAATTAATATGNAAATTTATGTATATAAGACTCTCTAAACATGTAGTAAATAATGATATACTATCTATTGAAGAGTATGGGTTTAGAAGTAATTCTTCAACAGAAAAGGCAATGTTTAAACTCCTAAATGACATTCTTCAGGCCTTAAATAACAAGGCATATGTAGGAGGTATTTTTTGTGACCTTTGATTGTGTTAATCATGACTTATTAATGAATAAACTGAAATTCTGTGGAATTGTAGGCAATGCATACGATTTAATCAAATCATATCTCAGTGACGGGTATCAACGAGTTCTCATTTATGATAATTTAACATAATCTTGTACTTCTTCAGAATGAGGAAAGCCTAAACATGGTGTGCCCAGGGATCTGTGCTTGGACCAGTGCTTTTTCTTTTTTATATAAATGACTTACCTAAAGTGGTAAATAATAATTCTAAGCTGGTCTTATTTGCTTATGATACCAACATTATTGTTAGTAACCATAATCTACTAAACTTTGAAAATGATCTTATTTCTTCATTTGATCAATTGAATGTCTGGTTTAACACCAATTTGTTATCATTAAATTTTAATAAAGCTCAGTATATACAATTTAGAACTTACTAATAGTCCAACAGTTCAATTAGATATCAGTTATAATAATAAATATATTGTTAATGATATAAATACTCGGTTTTTAGGTATTACTGTTGACAGCTCCTTATCGTGGAAGAATCATATTGATGGACCCATGGTCAAATTAAGCAAAGCGTGGTACGCTATCAGATCATTAAGACCCTTTGTCTCTCACAAATTGTTGAGAATGATTTACTACTCTTATTTCCATGCAGTTATATCATATGGTATAATCTTCTGGGTGAATTCCTCTCATAGTAACAATATATTTAAACTGAAATAAAGGGTCATAAGAGTTATTACAAATTCTAGAAATAGGGACTCCTGTAGGGATCTGTTTACAAAGTTAGATATATTACTGTATTACTCTCAGTATATGTTCTCATTATTAATCTTTGTAACTGAAAATATTTCCTTATTTAAAGTAAATTTGGAGTTATATGATATCAATACCAGAAGCAAAAATAGTTTTTACCGTTCACAACCAAGGTTTTCAATTATATAAATGGTGTGTATTATATGGGTATAAATGCACTTACCTTCTTACATAAACAAAATTGTTAGATGATAAGAATCAATTTAAAAATACTTGAAATAAATACCTTCTACTGAATTCCTTTTGTTCACCGAAGGACTTTTTTAATAGTAAATACTAATCTTAATGTTATATTTTTATCCATATGTTTTATGCATCATAGGTGCTTTATTTTTGCATAAGATATATAATCACCTACTTTCTGGCATGAAGACTTGTATTAAATTTAAGATGTTGCCATGTATAAAGTAGGAAGATAAATCAGTGTGGTTTATTGTTTCATTTGACCTATGCTTAATTTCATAAAGCATTTGTATTTATTACTAATTTCTTAATTGCTGTGTTAGTTATTTATTGTACATTTTATTGTATAGGTTATCTGTTTGTGACTGGTTCTATATCCAGCAGGTGTACTCTGTAGCCTCAATTGGATCATTGGAATTTTACAATAAATAAATAAATGAATGAACCTCAAAATTTATAATTTAAAACTATCTCTGTCATCCTTCAGGAAATGAATAGTAATCTGGTTCAGTCATCACTGCTAGATCAAGTCAGAGTTGTATGGTCTAATCAGATTCTTGTGGTATGGGTCTCGAAATCTCTGCATCTGTCACTTAATGTTGGTGAGTTTTATTTTATTTCTTAAATTCACTGTCAGAATCAGCAAGAAATTAATACTGCAGTTCTTATATTCACAGAAAGTGAGTGACTGTTTAGGTTAGGTTAGGTTAGAGTAGGCGACGCAAAATTACACTGTATTGTCAGACCACTATGCATTCATCTGCACATGGTAGCTCATATGCACGAGCACATTCAGCCACAGCTTGTTAGGATCGAATAATGTTAGGTTAGGTTGCAAACATTGGAACACTGTGTATCCACAGGCAAATGCATTTGTATGTTGATATATTCATGATCATTGGGACTTTCAAATGTAGGGAAATACCCAATTTTTATAAATTTTCTAAAATTTTGAAATGTTTCAAATTTGTTAAAGTTTCAATTTTTCGGATTTTCAGAACATTTCAGGACTTCTGATTTTAAAAATATATTTAGTTTTTGTAATTTCGATTTTTCAAAATTTCGAAAATTTTGGAACATTTGAAATAGTCGAAATTTTTTAACATTAGATATTTTTCGAATTTTTCACTTTTTCGTAAATTGTCAGTTTTTTAATTTTTGAGAAATTTGAAATCTCTTGTACCTGGTTAATTTTTTAAGTTTCTAAAAATCTGGAATGTTATCTATTTTTGAAAACGTTCAGTTTGTTAGAATGTTTATATTTTCAGGAGTTTTAGAATATTTTAAATTTTATATATTTTAAATTTGTTCATAACTAAGTAGCTAACTTCATGAAACTGAGCCCATCCGTGGAAGCCGCAGGTTGTGCAACTACTCAAGAAACTCTCAACATTTTATGGAACCCGAAAGTTTACTATTGTGTTCACAAGAGCCTTCCACTGGTCCCTATCGTGAGTCAGATGAATCCATTCCATACTGCCCCATCCTATCCATTTAAACATTATCCACCCACCTATATCTTGGTCTTCCTAGTGATCTCTTTCCTTCTGGCTTTCCTTCCAATACCCTATATGCATTCCCCTTCTCCCCCATTCATGCTACATACCCTGCCCATATCGTGCTTGTTGACTTCATCATTCCAATTATATTTGGCAGAGTTTGCAACTCCTCAGTATGCAGTTTTCTCCAGCCAACTTTCATTACACCTCTCTTTGGTCCAAATATTCTCCTCAGTTCCCTGTTTGCAAACACCCTCAGTCTATGTTCCTCCCTTATTAAAGTCGTTTCTGATTTCGAAAATTTTAAGTTTCTTTTAAATTTGAAAAAACTCCCAAAATCTTCAAAGTTTATAAAATTTTATGAAGGTTTTTAATGGTTTCGAAATTATTATTTTTTTTTTTTTATTTGCATTTTAGTAAATTTTAAATTATTTTCTAAATTTCAAAATGTTATAGATTGTTCGTATTTTCGGAAATTTTCAATTTCTTATGTAAAAGAAAAAAGTAAAGCTGTCCCTGTAACAGGCGTGGAAGCCCATAACATTGTGAGATGTTGAGGCTCTTACATTTTCTAGACAATCAGCTCACAGATGGCGGTGAGGTTGTCATCATTATGCGCCGGCCACCCTTTACCCTCAGGAAGATTTCTGGTACTCATTTCTGTTAGAGGCTGAATCGACTCCAGGGCCATAGTGTGGATGAAAGGATTAGGTCAGTTGAAAAGTGTAGTGACATCATTGGGAATCGTACCTGCAACCTTCCAGCTTGTAGCATAGTGCCTCAACCAGTCCTACCATGTACCCCTCAATTTCATTGGTATTTCAGAAAAAAATAAATCAAATTGACTGTTTACAGGTGTTTAGATTACTTTGAAATCTTGCAATATTAAAATAGTTTTATGTCTTGTGGTTTGAAAAATATGATACTAATCGTAATTCTAAATCCTGATTCACTGTAAGGGGAGGCAATTGAAACTAGCATTGATTTAAATAGTTTCTTGCCTGTTCTAGTGGTATCATTTTTTACAGATGGTTTAGAGTCACATTCTGCTGCTGGCCTTCTGGAACCCTTAACGGAAGTAGTGGTTTCACCACCAGGAACTGGTACAACATTGGTAACTGAGTCATTGGTTGAATACCCAAACCTAGAAACAGATATTTTGAAGCAAGAATCACAGAAATATGATGACCAAACTCCCATATCAGGTCAGTCCCTTACGTCTATGCTTTGGAATACTTTAAGGAGCTATGTATCAGACAGGGGTGCCAAAAGAGAAGATATGATGGTGAAAGGCCCACCCAGAACAGAAGCTGAACGTCAGACCATTGCTGTTTTAAAGAAGTATACCCACAGACCTCTTCCTGTGGTATATCGCATTCATCCCATGCATCTTCCAACAGCAGAAAATGAAAGAAGTATAGATAGTTTATTATCACAACCTTATAATGTGTTTGTCAGAAGATGTTGTATGCCAAATGTGGATGCTGCTTTTCTGAATAGTAGGAAAGGTGTGTTAACGTGTAAGTTGATAAGACTTCCTGAACTATCAGGCTCTGAAGACTCTCATAATAAACATGTGAGTAAAGGTGATGAATTTCACGGGCAAGAAACTTCCAGTGTACCTTTATCAAAAGATACTCCTGTAAGTGTTCATGTGCAATTGTTTGTGATTGAGGATGTTTACAAGAGCTTGTCTGACAATGCAAAAGAATATCTGGATGAAATGACAATAGATGAAAGAATTGGACATGACAGTTTATTGGTGTCTGCAGTTACAAGAACAGGTCTGGGTATGCGAATTGGAGCAAGAGTGAGTCTGGAAGTTCTCACCACTTCAGTAAGGTCCCTTCCTTCTGAAATACAAATTACTCCTCTTGGAAGCTGGGTATGTATATGATTGATAGAGTGAATGATTGATCAATAGGTTTCAAGTCTTTATCATGAGAGTGGTTATTTCTAAATCTAGATTTGTAAAATATTCAAATTCAGATTTACTGCATTAGGCTTAATACTAATTGAAGCTGCAGTATTTTCATTTACCTCATAATATACAGTGAGCTGGGACAGTGCAGTCAGTATAGTAACTGGCTACGGGCTGGACGACAGGGGTTTGAGTTCGGGTCCTGGTAGGGTCATGAATTTTCTCTTCTCCAAGTTGTCCAGACCAGCTCTAGGGCCCACCCAGCCTCATATCCAATGGGTAGCAGGGGCTTTTTCCCGGGAGTAAAATGGCAGGGGCATGAAGCTGACCACTCACTTCCATCTAATGCTGCCAGTCCCCCATATGCCTTCATGGTGTAGTGCTTAATTAGTTAAGCACGTGGACAACTTTACCTTTACCTTTCATATTAGATGGAACTGCTGTACTGGTATTACTTCATAACTTGAATTAGGTGATGGTGCTTATAGTGCCATGAGATTTAAGTTATCAGGGTGCATAATATTAAGATCATGGTATGTGATGTAACGCCATGTAATCTCGTTGATATGTACCACTGTTCTTGATGAACCTTCTGTCACTTTCTGCCTTGAAATTGGAATTAGCAGATTGCTTTGAAACATTTGTACTTACTCTCAGACTACATGATGTAACATTCCAGAAGACTGTAATCTAAAACTGCTGTGACCCCAGCACCAATGTATCATTTGTGAGCAAAGGGTTCATCATGGGATGATGAGGATACAATTTGGCAGAATAGACTTTACAGGTTTTCATAGGATCCTTAATTGAACTTTTAAAATATCAACACAGTAAAAATATGTTATAAAGACTTCTGAATAGAAGAAAAAAATTGTAAAGATTATTGCCCTCTTGCATGTGATGTGTAAGCTCTTCTACACAGAATATGGATACAGCAGATTCCTCCAAAATACTGACAGAGATATTCTGACGGGTTCTGACGATGGTGTATAACATTCAGGATTGCTGGGTTTTTGGACTTCGTCAATCATCCCGTGTTCTAAAAGACATGAACAAACACAGAATTTTGGAACCTGGATCTTTTTCCATCCTCTGGTGAAGGGTAGGAGACACCTACTTTCTTGGGTCTCTTAGGAAGCGGTAACCTGACCAGTGATTGAGGTTAACTCTTTCTAATGGACCCAACGGAGTGGGTATCCCCCCCCCCCCACCTGGAACACCCAAGGACAGAAACAGATCCAATTTCCAAAATGTGTTCTTTTGTGTTTGGTAGAATACCAGATGATGGACAAAATCCAAAAATGCAATAATCCTGATTGACAGATATCTATCAGGCTGCATGGTGTCATTTCCCAGGAAACAGTAATCTTCNTCTCACGGTCTCTTCGCTTGCAGATTTCTTATATTTTTTCTTCTACCCTGAAGATGGAGGCGATACATTCCTCCGAAACGTCGGTTAGCACCACATGTACATGGTGCTAAATCCCAGAAGACTGCTTTCTTCATAGTCACCGCCGTGAAAGCCTCTAATCTTCATAATTGTTGTCATACAAGCTTCAGACCTCACATGAAGGGTCTGTGTTTATTAATGCCCATAACAGAAACAGACATAATGTAAGTCCATAGAAAATATGGTGTGTTTGTTGAATCTTTGAATCCTGGTAGTATCTTGTGTTTTTTCAAAAGATTTTTGCATAATTTTAAGATTTGCAGCTCATCATGGTTCTAGCATGTAGATTTCAGTTTCAGCTGATAGTAAAACTAGAAACTCTTCTATTACAGTGTTCAGAAAAGTAGAACTTATAAGTATGAAAGTACACCAAAATCTGTTGATCAATAATGTTGTTATATTACATGTAGATGTATAGTGAAGCATGAACATTGAGAACACAATTTAAAGTTACTGTGATGGAGTGTGGTTACAATTTTCAGCTATTACTCCTGATGTACTTGTGATGTCTCTTCTAGGAAAAGAGTGCCGAGGAATTAGAAAATTTGTGTAGGTCTTACATAGCTGAACAAGTGAGAACACATTGTCTGCTTATCAATTCCAAATCATTTCTTTCTCTACAAACACCTTCATTCAGTTCAATCAATGTCTTAGTCAGCCTGTTGCCTGCTGATTTGGAATATGCTATTCTGGATCCTGACAGTGTGAGAAAATGCAAGTTCACAGTGAAGGAAAATACTTCACATTTGGTATATCCAAGTGTTGATAAAGAAGTGGATAATAATGAGACCTGCAGTGTTCATTTTTGGTTAGTATATAATGTTTTTTTGGGTTTATACTTGAGACATATACGAGTATTGTTTCAGTTCATTTTGAGGAGTGAGTATACATTTTTTTCTGTATGTTTCAATTTCCCTTCATATTGCTTCTGTTATACTGTGGATATGTAAAGGAATATATAAGGCATTGTTACAGGCTACTTTTGTTTAGAGTTTTATACCCATGTTTGCTTAAAAGTGTTACAACATTTTTTAAATTGGTTTCACCAATGTATGGAGTAGTATTCTTCATCTATATACCTCAGAACTTTAACGTTTGTGTTACTGTGCCGTGGCCCTTAACACTTTGCGGACCGTCGATTTAAATATTTAAATCACCCTGGGGACCGGCATTTTTATACCTGCTACCCTAACTTGTGCACTGTTCACTTTAACCTTTAAACTACTAATGACCCCATATGGGGTCGCAAAAATAAAGTCAGCGGTACAAATGACCCCATATGGGGTCGCACAGTCCGCACGTGCGCACGTTGCTTTAAAATCTAATTTTAAGATAGAAATTCTTTTCCTACTTACATAATTTTTGGCCACCATCTGCATGGGTTGTCTGTCTTCCCACCTGCGTCATCTACTGGAATGTTGCCTTCGTGTGGAATTCTCGGAAACATCCGGAAATGCAGAGTCCGATGTCGCACTTCTCGCACTTTGTCCGGACGCCTCTTCGTTTCCCACGCGAAGAGCACACACGACATCTCAATTTCGAAGTAGAGGAAGTCGGCCAATGTGGTGTTGTGACCTCCCCTATTCGAGATGGCTCCGATCTAACAGCCGGGGTTCGACCCCTGGGCCGTTGAGGGCGAGGTGGACCCCTTCCAGCAAGCTCCAGCATGTTCCGCACAAGGGCGAGACGAAAATCTCTGTGCGTCCAATTCGCGCCACAGGATTTCAACAGGATGTGGCTGTTCAGAATTGTCAGATCCAGGAGATGGAAAAATAGTTTATTTGTCCATTTCCAGGTTCGACGACAGATGCCATAACTGTTTGCCATCCTGTCCGCCTTGTCCACATAACCCATGTGCTTGTTGTAGTCAGCAACAACAGCTGGCTTTATGGCATTTCCATGCTCATCACAGAAACTGCCTTCTGCTGGAGGAGAGTGCATATTTGTCAGCATGTAAACGTCATGTTTGTCCTTCCAAACTAGTGCTGTCATGTTCTGTCTCACCCTAACATGAATGTCCCCTTTCCTAAGTCGAAACTGTCTTCGTCTAAAATCGTCAGGCAAGCCCTTCCGATTTGGTCTGACTGTCCCACAGCACGTTATGTTCTTTGTCATCAGTTCGTCAAACAAGTCGGGCGAAGAAAAGAAATTGTCCATGTACAGTTTGTGACCTACGCCCTCAATACGCCTGCACAAGTCCCTAACTGTAGCATGTGTATCATTCTCTTTTCATGGTTGGTTTCTTGTCAGCATCAATATATGAGTATATACATGTACGTATATGTTAGTTGTAACTTTAAAGAAGCAATTACACTCAGATTTAAAAATTAAATTATACTCAGGTATTTAAAAGATATATTGAAAATGAGAATCTGAATCATGTCAAACACTACTACAGTACTTGAAAATAGCTTTAACAGCCATGGCTGCCCTACATATTGATGGAGCTAACAGGAAATATCCAAAGACGTTACTGAAATGCCTTCATGCTCATAGGAACCAGAGATACAGGAGACAGAGAAGTTAACGTTTATATACGAGTATACTAAACAGGACACAAAATACTGGATGTTCTTAATATGTCTGTATTACTATATTACTGTCTATTTAATGCAATTTACATTTACTTGGAAAGGAAGCTATTTTGTGATATTGATTTGTTGCAGGGAAAGAGGGAATCTGTTTTACAGCAACTTCAAGAAACTCTTCTCTGAGGGCATAACAACATTGGAATTTAGTTTACGTCTTACACCTCTTGTTACAAAACTTGTACCAGTCAAGACAGACTTGGTATCAGATAACATCCTCATTCTTGGTAATTCCTCAGATGCTATTATTATTAACATTGTATTTTGTTGCTGTTTGGTCACTCAGAAATGTAGGGGGAAGTAATTATTAAACTATAGACCACTTTGATGTTATTGAATATTTTTATGTAACATAATGTATTATACAGGTGTCCCAGGTGTTTGGTGCCATACTTCAGGAGCGTACTGAGGGTTCCCTATAGAACAACTTTGAAATAGGAACCCATGTCCACAAACGTAAAATAGCAGCGCTAGGGTGGCATTTAATATCATTTTGTTTAAACTTGGTGCATTAATGTCAAAGAGCATGCACAGGCATATTACCCCCTCCAAACTCTTAAGACTCATCTGCTAGAGTAGATGTTGGAATTGGCGCCCTCCATTTTCAATGCATGCATTACCTCGAGGAAAGAAACTTTTGGCGGACCTTTCAAATATTCCAGGTATCCCATGGATCACGTCACATGCAACAAGTATTCTGGCCAACAGCTGAAATTCATTATCCACAGGCATGTCATAGATCAGGCTTTTCACATGGCTCCAGACAGAATAGTCCACAGGTGTCAAGTCTGGAGATAAGGGTGGCCAAGGCACTGGGCCTCCTTTTTTCTATCCAACAACCATGTAAAGCAGCATCCAGGTAAGTTGGAAGGATAAGTTCCAGGAACACCTTGTAAAAGGTCCCATTGAGTCGTGGTTGTAGGAGGAAAGGCCCAATCAAGTGATTGCCAATGATGCCCGCCCAGACATTGACAGAAAATTACGCCTGGTGGTAACCAACTACCGTAATATTGGGGTTTTTGTCAGCCCAGATGTGGCTTTTTCAACAGTTGAACCAGCCATACCTTGTAAACTGCGCTTTGTCTGTGAAGAACACATGATTCAGGAAGTTGGGCTGTTGTAAACACTGGTTCAGTATCCACTGACAAAATTGAACTCATGGTATGATGTCAGCTGGACCTACGTCATGTACTCGCGTTGGATGATACAGGTAAAGTTGTTGGACATGCAGGATCCTCCAAACACTTGATTTTGATGTCCCCAAATTCTTGGCAATGGCACGAGTGCTGGTGGATGGCTGTTCCTCTGTGCAATGCAGCTCGACATTGAGGCGCCAAGTTTAAACAAAATGATTTTAAATGACGCCCTAGCACTGCTATTTTATGTTTGCGGGCATGAGTTCCTATTTCCAAATTGTTCTATATGGAATCCTCAGTGCGCTCCTTAAGTATGGCACCAAACTCCTGGGACATTCTGTATATACACAGATAATGTATGGGGATTTTGAATCCTTCACTAATACTGTTAGTATTGTACATGATAATGCAAGAAGATTAATCCAGTATGATTAACAGAATGGGATCACCCAATTTTAAAACCGAATAGGAAATGGACGAAATTTACTATAGGAAATCTTCGAGATTACCTTTTGTTACACAGAGTTTAATTAGTTTTAATCAGTATGCCAAATAGGTAACATATGCCTACTGCAGCTGACCTGGGTTCAATCCCGGGTTAGGTTGTATGGGATTTGTGGTGGACAAAGTGGGACTGGGACAAGTTTTCTCTGAGTACTTCGGTTTCCCATGCCAGTTGTCATTCTGTCAACTGCTTCATATTCATTAAACATTGTCATTTACACTATATAGTCTCAATACTGACAATGTCATTAAATAACAGACTTAAGGCAGAAGATGACATGTATGTAATAATTATCTTGAAAAAAAGTCAGAAAATCAGCCTATGTTATGCATACATGAATTATGATTTTAGTAAATAGAAAATTTAAATATGTTCAAAATGGAATGCCACCAGACCAAGAAAATTTTCTGTTTTGCCTAACTTTCCATTTCAAGAAGTGTCTAATGGCACTGATATTAAATGAATACATATTAATTATGGGCAGTATTTATCAGCATTTATAACAGAATTAATGGAAACAGAACACATAAATCATCATTATATAGTTCCCACTGTTCATTAGCATGCACCAAATGTGTTTTTGACTTCATATGCTTCAGTAATTCACCAAAAGTATATTTTATGCTTTTAAAACAAGGTTTTACTGGTGATTGTCACCATTAGCAGGACCTTTCAGTTCAAATGCTTTGGTATAGACAACTTGGCTGTTAAGTCAGTCGCACACAGTGCCCTTGAAAACAATGTTATTTCTACTTTAAGTTTCCAGCCACACATTTTAATCTTTCAATTTATTTTTACATAAAGTTTCTGATTTTCTTTTTTTTTATGCTTGAAATATTCTCTGTAAAATTTTGTCTTCATTGATGTTACAGTTACAAACCACCCCTACAGTGTCTATTTTTGACTACAACTACCATTCACAACTAACTGTGGCGCCTGGCCCAGAGTCCTCATTATATACAGGATGTCCCAGGAGGAATGTGCCAAACTTCGGGAGGGTGTTCCTTATGTTAAAGTATGCCGATATAACCCAAAACACCTATGTCCAATGTTCATCGCTTACGGAGATAATGGCCAGAGAAATGTCAAACTTTGACTGGTGTTACACACATGTTGATTACAAAATAATAATTAAAACTGGTAGGAATATGCGGATTCTGTAATGTTAATAATGTACGTAACATCAAAATAACTTGTGAGTGACGTGAAGCCATAAAATTGAAGTACAAAACACTCGCTCTCCATGTCATAATTGTCCTTAGGGTTTCCAAGCACTATACATGACACATGACTGGCAAGCGCTGATGTAACATGGCTCACTGCGCTATAAGCCGACCACATAACTGTATTAAACGTACATTCACGGAAAATCTCTTTTGGAATTTCATTTCCCTTATCCCACGTGGATTATTATGGGACCACGTATGCACATTTCGTAAATTATTTACACCGTCAAGGGTAAAAGATGCCTCATCACTGAATAAAATGACGCTTAACAGTTCGGGATGAGCTTTTATCCTGTGTCACACATTCATACGCTGTTAATGGTCGCCTGGTTCCAGATGTTGTACCTTTTTATCATCGTAAGGATACAACTCTTTATCATGTAAAGTTCGCCACACCTGCATACGTGATATGCCGATGCGAGAGGCCATTCTACGAGTGGACAGACGTGGACTTCTCTGAACCATCTCAAGAATATTCTCTCGTGTGTTTCTCATTCGTACATCCTCCCTGTCAGAGTGCACAGAAACACTCGGAAGAGAACCAGTATCACGCAATGTCTGGTGAATTCGTCTAAATACACTTCGAGATGGAATCCTTCTATCGGGAAAACGCCTTTGGTATTCTTCAACAGCAGCACGTGCATTGCCACCGCAAATTCCATACACAAAATGCATATCACAATATTCCACGTGTGAAAACACAAGAGGCATTTCAGCAACTCTGCACAACTAATTACCAACCATTCACGACGCAGCCGCAACGTACTCTGTATGTAGCACATGAGCTTATGGCTAGTGTGAATCACCACACTCAAGGACAAACATAGATAAGATGTCTCAGCTGACAGGTACAGTGCGTGGACCCGCCAGAAGACCACACTTTTCTCGGGCCATTATCTCCATAACCGTTCAACTTTGGACATAGGTGTTTTGGGTTATATTGGCATACTTTAACATAAGGAACACCCTCCCGAAGTTTGGCACATTCCTCCTGGGACACTCTGTAGCTGCAGCACAGACTACATAGAAAACACTGCATTGCCTAACATTCGCCCAGCAATTCCTGTATTGTTGCATATGCATTCATTTCCACAGAGTTTTTACCATGACATTTCCTAGCAACGGCTGTCTTTTCTCACTCCAATATTTTGGTTTCAGCCTTCATGTCACAATGTTCCCATTCTCTTCATGAAGCTGTTCACACGAGGCCCCACATTGTTTTTTCACTTTAATATTTTATGAACTAGATCTTTCCCAACATAGAACTTTTGATGAATGCTTTCGCACCAGATTTCTTGGTTTGTGCTCTGTTAGTTTCACTTTTGTTCTCAATAATAACGTTTATTTTTGGAACCCATTGCTATAACTAGGTAGTGTAAAAACAGAATTTTATTACAGGTATTGGGTCAGATCATTATATGTTTCAAACCAAGTGGGAAACATCTGTAAGACTCAATTTGAAGAAATATTTAATACTGTAGAATAGGCATGCTCGAGTATTAGTTCATGTACTTATAGATTCCAGGATCTGCAGTTTGTAAATGAAATAAATTTCAATTCCTCCATCTGAGAAAATTCTCAGAACCAGAGTGTGTACTAGAATGTATGCTTCTTGCTTTATACGAGGGTTGGAACTTTAATAGTGGCAACTATTTACTTACAACTTATATAAAATAGATGCATGTTTCAAAGTTTTACTGTCCTTCATTGTAGTCACCAGCATTGTGTACAACCTGCTGCCAGCAATGTGGAAGTCATAGGATACCTTTAGCAGCGCCTGTTGTGTTAATAGTTCAAATGGAGCGGTCTACTGCCTGAAGAATCTCTGGAACAGTTCTGAAGTGAATGCCACGAAGTGGTTCCTTCATCTTAGGAATCAAGTTGAAGTTATAAGGGCTTAAGCCCGGGGAGTATGGTGGATGGTACATCACTTCCCAGCCCCATCGATCGAACAAATCAGCCACAGCTTGCGCTGCATGTGGCCGAGCATTTTCCTGCAAAATGATGGATGGGTTCTGCAGAAAGTGTCGCCGCTTCTTTCTCAAAGCTGGTCGCAGGTTGTGTTCCAAAAATGAACAGTAATGCTGTGCATGAACGGTATGCTTTAGGATAATATCATCACAGTCGTACATGAGAATCATCATACCTTTCACATTGCTGGGGTTCTGATGAACTTTTGATTTTCGTGGTGACCCGCAATGACACCATTCGTTCGACCCATCATGATGCAGTTTTCTCATGCCCAGGCGTTTCTTCAGAATGTGAAGCACACTCGTATGCACTAATCCTGTCTCTCGGGCCAGCTCACGAATTGCATGGTGTCGATCACTCTCCAGTAACGCAGAAAAAGCATACACTTCTTCTTCACTGACACTAGTATGACCTGGCCGACGCACGTCTGCCACATTTTGGCGTCCCTCGTTGAAGGCTTTTACCCACCTTGCCACTGTTCTGTAAGGCAATGCAGATTCCCCGCAAGCCTCTTTAAGACCTTGATGACACTGTCATGCTGTACAGCCTCTGGAACATTCAATCCTTATCCAACTGCATTGTTCCTGTTTCGAAAACATAGTGACAACACTAAATTAGACTGCCAGCTAACACGAGTCTGTGTTCTTCTCGTCCCTGCGCATGTGTGTGATGTGGTAAGGGAGAGTCCATTTGCTCTGAGGTAAGGTAGGTATATAACTAATGTGTGGTATAAGCGACATTATTTGATTCTGTTGCATGGCGTCTCTACAGCAGTTTTGCCACTATTAAAGTTCCAACCCTCGTACCTAATGTATTTTGTTTGAATATTTTTAAAATTGTTACAAAATTGTTCTGCATTTTTACAATTGTTATAAAACTGTTTTGCAGGAACTGCTGGTTCAGGGAAAACAACTCTTGCCAGAACAATATGCAGAGAATTGGAAAAGCCACCACATTTCGTACATTGTATTGAAGTACAGTGTAGACACTTGAAAGGTGCATTATATTTTGATGGAACCTAGCCTGATGTGTTTTATCTTGTGAGAGATAATGAAGCATTAGTTTATCTTGTTATATTTTAGATATTTTTGCTTTTTGTATGTCTGTCAACCAAGGTTATCTTCCCAAAGCTTTTTCTCCTCCGTAAGCACACATGATTACACAGTGTACTCACTAAACTTTGGCAGTGTCTCAGAAAGTGAAACGGTGTTGTAGTGAATTATGGAAGTTATCTTTAAGGTTTGCGTTGTAAATCTGTGTTGGTTATCTTACGAGAATACTTAGAAAATGTACATTATACATCATAGAGGCCAGACTTGCATACCTGTAACAAATGATGTACTAACATTCAAATCTTTCAGGTCTTCCTAACCACCAAGATCTCTCTTTTCTATTACACATGCAAACTTGCACATGACTTTAAACTCTTTATTTTTACTGAAGCATGAATGGATTTTTGTTTTACATCATCAGCTTCCAAGCTCTTGATTTTGTTCAGTTTGTAATTGATTTCTTTTATTGTTTCTGACAACAAATTTGTATTCTTCTCCAGCTTCATTCTAGTCTGGGACAGAAAACTGAAATTTGCTTGAATGTAGACCAAGTCAGTTTTTAGCAACCTTTTTCTTTTTTTAATGCCAGTGGGGTGGGACTAAGTCCCTTGTACTGCGGCCACTTCTGGCCTATTGTACCAGCCCCAGATGACAGGTGAGGGTGATCGTGGAGCAATTGGTGGAATGAAGATTGGCAGAGGAATCCGAAGTACTCGGAGAAAACCTGTCCCAGTGCCACTTTGTCCACCACAAATTCCACTTGACCAGACCCAGGATCTAACCTGGGCTGCCATAGTGGGAAGCCAGTGACTAACCGCTTGAGCTATGGCGCGGACCCTTTTAGTAACCTTAGTTCATTTATCATTAAATATTTCTTGCAATTTTGTGATAGAGGAAGCATCATTCCTATCAAGTTCATTTACCACAAAACTGAAGTGTTCAGAATTTTCTGCATGATACATAGTGGCATCCAACCAGGTTACCCAGCATGTAATTACTGGATCTGGGATGAGGTGTATGTCTGGAGCAATATTTTTAAAGAGTCTGTTCTAGCTGGTGTTTTAACAAGGATTTCCTTCCCATTAGCCACCGACTTATCAGTGTTTGGATAAAGCACATGAATTGTTTCACAGACTCTGCACAAAGCATGCACTGCATACAGATACTGCACATGTATCAATTTAGGTTTGCTCCTGAGATACCTGCCTGCCCATTTACGAAGGCAAATTGAAAAGTCTTTGCCTCTATTTTTTTCATCCACAATAATACACATACAGGGAAATCAAAATACAGGCAGTATTCTAAGTATCTTTGTCTATTTTTCTACATAGTCACCACACCGGTTCAGGCATTTGTCCCATCACCCCACTATTTTGGAGATGCCGCTGTTGTAGAATTCGGCTGGTTGAGCATGGCGCTGGACAGCGGTTTTCACATCATCGTCAGAAATGAACCTCTGTCCTGCCAGGAACTTCTTCAATGGACTGAACACGTGGTAATCACTGGATGCAAGGTCTGGACTATATGGTGCCTGCTCCATAATCTCCCATCCGAATGACTGCAGTCACGCCTAGGGATTCTCGTGGATGATGTGGTTCTCCTCCATGACAATGCCAGGCCTCATGTGGCAAACAGGACCACTGCCCAACTGCAGTCATTCGGATGGGAGATTATGGAGCATGCATCATATGGTCCAGACCTCGCCCCCAGTGATTATCACGTGTTTGATCTACTGAAGAAGTTCCTGGTATGCCAGAGGTTCATTTCCAATGATGATGCTAAAACTGCTGTCCGGCGGTGGTTCTGTGCTCAACCAGCCAAATTCTACAACAGCGGCATCTCCAAACTAGTGGTGCAATGGGACAAATGCCTGAACCGGGATGGTGACAATGTGGAGAAACAGTTAGAGGTATTTAGAACACTGCCTGTATTTTGATTTCCCTGTATGTGTATTATTGTGGCTGAAAAAAATAGGAGCACAGACTTCTCGATTTTCCCTCATACATATACAGTATCTGTATGAATGAATGAGTGTATGAGGGGTGGGCCTTCTTGGCCCTTGCACCGCCACCTATAGTGGTCTATTGTGCTTCCCCTTTTGATTATCCCCTCAGCAACCCCGCGTTTCAGATGAAGCGCAGAATTTTGGATGTGGGAGCGTCAAAATAGTCACTTGGTTCCATAAAGTATTGACCCAAGTGACATAGCCTTAAATAAGCTAAAGACTCACATTCACACAGGATGTGTGTGGCTGTTTCGTTTTCTGTCTGACACCTCTCACAAGTGGGACTATCACTTAGTCCCAGTTTGAACAGGTGTCCTTTGAGGTGACAGTGTCCTCTAAGTAGTCCTAGCACCCATTGTAGCTGGTTCCTGTTTAGCATCAACAGTGCCTTCGCTCTTTTAGTGGAAGGTCCTCGTATGAGTCCCTTTGCTTGCATAAGTCCAGTTAAGGATCCCCAGTATTTCTTATGTTTTATGTTAGTCAAGTCCCTGATTGCCTGTTTGGCAACTCCTATAGAGATGCCACAGGCTGGTTCAGGGCCTATGAACGGATGTTCAGCTCCAATTTTAGCTAATTGGTCTGCTGCTTCATTTCCAGCAGTACCCTCATGCCCTGGCACCCATATCAGTTGTACCCTGTTATGTTTGACCAGTTCCATGAGGGTTTGCTGGCAATCCCAGAACAATTTTGAATTGATCTGGTGTTTGTCAAGTGCTTTAAGTGCAGCTTGGCTGTCAGATGGAATTTAAATGTTCCTATTTCTATAGTTCCTATCAAAATTCTCCATAATACATGCTTTAATGGCATATACTTCTGCCTGAAATACTTTCGTATACTGCCCAAGGCTGAAACTAAGTTTCTGCCTCGTGCCATGGCAGTACACACCAGCTCCAGTGCCCTTATTTGTCTTGGAACCATCTGTATACCAGATCAGTCCCCCTTTTCTATCGGGCCGAAACCCGTCTTCCCATTCACTCCTGTCGGGAAATCTGACTGTGAAGGGTTTTTCATATACGTGGGGCAATCCAAAAGTTTCCGAAATTTGAATTTTGCGCACGAATGGTTATGAATACATTGAAATACCGCTAGGTGTCTCCTCAGACATCCTTCTTGAATCAGTGTGGCAAGCGGGGTCGAGTTTAGTGGTTGGGTTTATTGTTGGTGAACGTATTTCCATTGTTGTGTTTCTGTGAGTTTGCGGTTTTGCAATGGCTGACCTGAGAGAGCAGTGTGTCTGTATAAAGTTTTGTTTCAAACTTGGGAAAACCGCTGTGGAATGACGATCATTTGGTACGGCCGTCAACTGGCACCATACCAGAAAATGTCGTGAAAGTTAGGGATCTGATTCTGCAAGATCGTCGACTGACCATCCAAGACCTATGTAACACCTTGGGACTAAGTTATGGTACATGTCAACAAATTTTGTCAGAGGAACTGAACATGAGGAGGATTGCGGCGAAGTTTGTGCCACGACTGCTGCAAAATGAACAGAAGCAGCATCACTTGGAAGTCTGCAGGGAACTTAGCAACAGCTTCAAGAGGATCCAAACTTTCTTTCAAAGGTTGTCACTGGGACGAAAGCTGGGTTTATGGCTATGACCCTGAAAGCAAGCAACAATCATTGCAATAGAAGAGCTCTTCTTCACCTCGGCCAAAAAAAGCTTGACAAGTCAAGAACAACATTAAGTCCATGTTGATCTGTTTTTTTTATATTGACGGGATTGTTCATAAGGAGTTCGTCCCTCCTGGTCAGACAGTCAATAAAGAGTTCTATCGCGATGTTCTAAGGC